GAATTGCCTTCTACCGAATTCGGAAAGAATCTGTTCGGGACGCTTCGCGACCCGCAGATCCTTCGCGTAACACCTGGTTACTGGGCCTTGTGTCGAGCCTATATATAGCCTCGTGTTGTACCCAGGTGATCATTCAATTCAATTCAAACTCTCTTTTCTGAGCTCGATCCTAGATCCTCACACTTGGTACTCAGAGCCTGTTTGCACGCGACGTTTTTCGACCGCTAAAACCTAGCTTTTAAAACCGCGGGGGCGACGACGGAAAGCGCCGATTTCGGGTACGTAAACCAGCTCCGCGCTATTTTCTAACGCCCCCCTCGAACCGGTTTTCGAACACTCCTCTGGTCCAGTGGCGAAATGTTGGAATTTCGACCGTCGGATCGATTCGAATCTCAACGGCCCTGTTAATTTCGCCAAAAAACGTTGGAATTTGGAGCGTCGGATCGAATTTCTTCTCAACGGCCGAGATCGGACGCGAATTTCATTTAAGGAAGAATTACGTGACCTACAGAATCAGAGCTCGTCATTTCTACAGTCAATTCGAATCGCAGTAAGTCGACCAGCGCATAGAAATCACTTATTTTCGTCGCGCATGTTCCTGTAAATCGCCAAATGGAGGAAAACGGTGAAAATTCGTACGAAAAATTACGGAGTTACACACCGGCTTGGACCAGACGCGAGCGGCACTCCAGTGAATAGAGGCGCTTCTCGCGAACCAGTCGGCAGCCGCCAAAGCAGCAGCGAACGAAGCGGCGAATGCAGCAGCGGCGTCAGCAGCAGCAGCGGCGACACCGACACTTCACCCAGCAGCAGCGGCAGCGGCTACAGTGAATCTTGAGGCGGCACGTCCGAGGCTACCGGAAACGTTCAATCCGAATGCGAGACACACCGACGTCCGTCGATTCATTGCGACCCTCGAAATTTACTTCGAGACCGTTGGCTGTACGATGCGGATTCGGCTCGCAGCGACACTGTTACGAGGCCCGGCGCTCGGGTGGATTTACAATAGCAGCGAGGTCCGAGGCGAGGGGTCATGGACGCAGTTTCGGGAAGCTTTAATTCAACGTTTCGAACCAATCAACTCCAGCTACATGGGGCGGCAGCAGATTCATCGGCATAAACAGTTCGGCAGTGTAACACAGTACACGCAGTAGATGGAGAGCTTCTTCAACCGGATTACTGACCTGACCAAAGGGGAAAAAATCCAAGTGTATACTAAGGGGCTAAAAATGGAAGTCCGCCGACAGGTGATTGCCGCGAACTACAACAACTACCGTGACATGGTGTGTGCAGCAGAGAGATTCGATGCGCTGATGCGATGTGAACCTGAGACACGACGCCACGTGCCGAACCGATCATTTGGCACGAAGCGATCGGCACCACCCACGACCGCCGACCCGATGGATATCGACAAGATCGACGCGAAGCAGCGGCGGACAAAATATGAGAAGTGCGAATTTTGCGGCGCAGCAGGACATCGATTCTTGGCGTGTTGGAAAATGAAGAAGGCACGAGCGGAGCTGAAGGGCAACAACACTGCGACATCCACGATGGCGAAAAAAGGAGGACACAATGGCGCGAATTTAAAACGCCACGACCGGCCGGCAACAGGGGAAATCGCCGAGACAAATGGAGGCTCCGCGAAACAAGACTCTGCACCGACCGGGAAACTCCAGCCGAACACCCCCGAGAGTAAGAATATTTCCTCTCGAGGTTTTCAAGCCTTTAAAAAATTCAAGGGAGATTTCAAGGCCAAAAAAAAGCCTTCAGGCATTATTTAGGTACCTGAGAAGTTGGGCAAACCACTCCGGAGCGTTGAAAAGGGTCGTGCGTTCCAAGGAGTTAATATTCTCTCCCCGCAGCATAGTGTTAAGGCTCCCCATTGCCCACAAGAGAAGCCTACACAGCTGCAAAGGCTTAAGAGAAGGTTCCAGGCCAAGACGAAGCTGAATCGGCCTCGGATAAATCCTTCTCACCCAACTCAGTTGAAAACTGATATGGAGTCAGCAGCTTCGAGAGCAGGACCGAGGGATGATCTATTCGACGTACCCTACGATCTTAAAAGCGATACCATTTACGGCTACTCGGAGCAGCAGCAACCACTGCTCCTCGAGGTGATCTGCAAAGGGCGACGCCTCCAGGCACTGGTGGACAGCGGTGCGTCTCACTCGGTGTGCGACCGCGGGACGTTGGAGAAAATTGGAGAATCTTCGGAGGAGACTAAGTTCGCGACAACGATGGTGGACGGTACGAAACTTCCCATCCATGGCGAAGCATCACAGCAGCTGCATATAGGGGTGGTAAGGTGGAAGCCAACGTTGCCGATCACGAACATCAAGGGTTTAGATTTCATCTTGGGGCGAGATTTCCTGGAGCGGTTCAACCCCGAGATCGACTGGGTCAACAGGAAGGCGTGCATCTACAACAACGGGAAACAAGTGGAGCTGCGAAGCTGGACGGATACAGGGAGCGTTCCTGAAACGACGCTGGCACGGTTCGAACGGACGGTGAATAAGAATAACACAGGTTACTTAGCACTGGTTATGGCAGCAGCAAAGGAGGAGAAGCCGAACACAGAGCTACCTGCAGCAGTGAAAGAGGTCTTGTAGCAGTTCAAGGATATGATGCCCGACGACCTACCTGCAGGCGTACCTCCAGCACGCACCCACGAGCACGAGATCGTGGAAGAACCAGGTGCAAAACCCGTCTCATGTGCACCATACCGACTGAGTCGACCGAAGTGACAGACATGAAGAAACAGATAGAGTATCTACTGAACAGACAACTGATCCGCCCATCCACCTCTCCCTACGGTGCACCAGTTCTTTTCACTCCAAAACCAGAAGGCAGTTTACGGATGTGCATCGACTACCGCGCACTGAACAAACAGACAGTAAAAAACAAATATCCCATACCGCGCATAGACGACCTACTGGATCAACTACATGCAACAACAGTCTTTTCGAAGCTGGACCTACGGTCGGGTTACTGGCAGATCAAGATGGCAGACAACTCGGTCCACAAGACGGCGTTCCGTACCAGATACGGCTCCTACAAATACTTGGTGATGCCGTTCGGACTCTGCAACGCACCAGCAACGTTTCAGGCGGAGATGAATCACATCCTATGGCCCTTGCTGGACGAGTGCGTGGTGGTGTACCTGGACGACATTCTCATCTACTCCAAGAACATGAAGGAGCACGTGGAGCATCTGCGGAAGGTGTTCGAGATCCTGCGGAAAAACAAGTTCTATGTGAAGCTGTCGAAAAGCGACTTCGCCCTGAAGAAGGTGCAATTTCTCGGGCACATGGTGAGTGCCAAGGGCGTACACGTGGACCCGCGGAAGATCGAAGCCGTCAAGAAGTGGAAAGTACCAGAGAACGTGAAGGAGTTGCAGCAGTTTCTAGGCTTCCTTCGACCTCACGAGTGCATGACGCTATACTCGTGGTGATCGACAAGTTCTCTTAAATGGGTCACTTCATTCCGACCAACGTCGCGTCTACAGCTGAAGCAACTGCTCGCCTCTTCTTCGACCGCATCATCACCATCCACGGCAACCCCGCTACACTCATCTCAGACAGAGACCCAAAATTCACCAGTAAGTTCTGGAAGGAGCTCATGGGACTGTTGGGGACAAAGCTTGCAATGTTTTCAGCATACCACCCCCAGACTGATGGACAGACAGAGCGACTCAATCAGGTGGTTGAACAGTTACTGCGCACAGCTTGCAAAGACGACATCAGCCACTGGGACACACAGTTACCAACCCTAGAGTTCGCTTACAACAACGCGTCACATGCGGCCACAGGGAAAACTCCTTTCTTCCTGTGTTACGGACGGGAACCACTCACACCACAGCAGCCAACCACACCGGCACATGTCCAAGCCGCACATGACTTCGTCACCACCATGCAGCAGCTATTGGAGAAGACTCAGCGACGACTCACCACGATGCAGACCTCCCAGAAGCAGTATGCAAACTGACAGCGACGTGATCACATAGTAGCAGTCGAAGATCAGGTGCTTCTTGACACACGCAACTTGAACCTGTCTCACCTACCATCCAAGCTCCGGCCTCGCTTCTGTGGTCCTTTTCTCGTTGAGGCACAGGTGACACCAGTTACATTGCGCTTGCGCTTATCAGATACATGGAAGCTTCACAACGCTTTCCATGTCCAGCTACTGAAACTCTACAAGGACCCCAACCAACAGTTCCAGGGACGGCAGCTACCGCCACCACCACCTGTTCTCATACAGGATGAACCCGAGTACGAAATCGAGCGCGTTCTCACTCATCGGCGCCGCGGCGGCATGACCCTCGAGTTCCTGATACGATGGATGGGATGCGACCCCACCGAGGACAGTTGGGTTACAGAAGCTGATATGGGCAACGCACGCCGTGCTCTCAAGGACTATCTTGTCAAGCAGGGTGTATCTCATGCCACCCAACTTTGAGGGGGGGATGTGTGAGAGTACGACGGGTGATGCCAGCTATGCTTGCTTGCCTAGACTTTATTATGCTATTTCTAGCATAGGATAATCATATGCATGCATGAATTGCTTAATTTCCTAGGCTAAGTGCTTTCCTATATTTTCTTATAGTTATAGCACCGAGCTAGGTTGCGTGGACCGAATTCTGGGCTTTTCGATTGCCACCGAATTGCCTTCTACCGAATTCGGGAAGGATCTGTTCGGGACGCTTCGCGACCCGCAGAACCTTCCCGTAACACCTGGTTACTGGGCCTTGTGTCGAGCCTATATATAGCCTCGTGTTGTACCCAGGTGATAATTGAATTCAAACTCTCTTTTCTGAGCTCGATCCTAGATCCTCACACCGGGCCTAAGCATTGCACCAGGGGCGCTCGGGACAAGGCCGATCAGGGGGAGGTAGTGCAGCATCTCCGTTGCTGCTGGTACCGCCGCTGACTGCTCCGACGGTAACATCCCCCCAACCTCGACACCTTGGTGCGCCAAGCACACGTAAAGCTGGTCCAGGACGTATGACAGCAGCGTCAGGCACGTCCTCACGTGCATTACGCGCTGCTCGACGTAGAGAGGTGTTGCGGCTACACGAGCAGCAGCACGAGAAGCTGGTGGGGCGGGAGGAAATAGCAGCACCTGTTGAGGCAGCGGCGGCTAATGCATCTGAGGCTGGGGTAGTGGGAACTGGTTTAGCTGAGGCTGCCGATGGTGCTGAGCCTAGGGCCGCGCTATTGTGGAGACGGAGACGGCGTGGGTGGCGAAACCAACGGCTGATGGGGCACCGACAGGGGGCGCTGAGGCTAAGACAGGTGCGGCGGAGGCGGCGACATTGGCAACGGCATCATCGGGGTTTGAGGCGGAGACGGAGTGGGCTGCTGGGACTGCCACTGCCTCTGGTGGCGACTCAGCTTCGCACGCTGCCGCGTTCCAGGCTGTGGTGCTGCGGATTGTGGGGCGGGGACCGGCGGTTGAGCGGGAACAGACACCGGAGGCAGTGTTACCTGCGCCACGGGCACCGACAGGTGCTGAGACGGCTGCTGTGGCGGGAGAGGACGCGAGCCCAGCGGAGGGAGGCATGGAGGCTGGCGTTCAGTCCGCCGAAACGCCTACTGCTACCGTGGGCGCAGACACGCTGGGGCACGGCCTGGGGGCGGGTGGTACATTCGGTCGTGAGACCGGAGCCGCCGCGCATGTCGCTCGCGGGAGGGGCGGGAGGAACTTTCGCGCCCAGCCAGCGCCGAGGCGGCCCGGAGAAGGGCTGGGACCTGGTGCCACGGGACCACTCCTGGGCTGGCTTCTGCAAGGGTAACCGCCACGAGAGCCAGAGCGTCGGTCGCCATCCCAAGGCTGCGCGCCTGCACCAACAGCCGCCGCGCAGGCAGCTATGCGCACACCAACGATACAGGCACCGGAGAATCCGGGCGGGGTTAACGGGGGAGCACAAGTAGCGGCGACGACGCCAGCGGGAGTTGGCAGGGACACTATAGTTGCGGCGGACACCAGACGCTCGACAAGGCTTGGAGCGATCACCCGGGGCCCGCCACGAGGCAGACGCACACCGTGGATGCCGGCAGGTCGTGGCGGCAATGGCCCGGCTGAAACGGCGGGAGCGGCTGGACGGGGACAACGCCGGGGTTTTACGCGGAGGGATAAGAGGCGGAAGGGGAGGGCGGAACCAAGCACACAGAGCGGAGTCGCTGGGCAGCAATTGAATCATGGCTGCACAAATTTCAACGAGGCGAGTGGGCCGAGCTTTTCAAGGAAGAAGGGGTCATCCCCGACACAGGAGCCCCGGTACGACACCAAATAGACGAGGAGGGAGTTTGTGCAAGAGCTGAAGGGCTTGTGAAAAAAGGGAATATCTCGAAAGCAGTAGTAGCGTTGCGAACAAGTCCCCTCGCAGAAGCAACACCGGCTACACTCGAAGCCCTGCTAGCGAAACACCCTGTGGCGAGAATTCCGATATCGGCTTGGGTTACAGGAATCACACACTTCGAACTGACAGTCTCGCTGGACTCGCTTCGTGAAATCCTAGCGAAGTGCCCAAATGGTGTTGGTGCTGGGCCTTCTGGCGGCTGTTTCGAGCACCTCAGGGACCCAACCTTAGCTAACGAAGTGCTGCTGTTGCTTTTCGCAAAGGTGGTAAATCGGCTGCTCTACACCTTCCAGGACTCCCACGTGAGGAAACTGCTACTGCCTTCACATCCAATCGCCCTTGAGAAACCAAATGGCGGAGTACGACCTATAGCGATCGGCGAGATGCTGCTCCGCATAGTGGCGAGGGCGGCGTTACACACCCTAGGACCTAAGATCAAAGACTTCTTCTTATCGGTTCAGTTCTGCATGGCAGTCCCAGGAGGTGCGGAATGCATCATCCACACAGTCCGATCTCTACTCCTGAGGACAAGACCCGCATCACCCTCCAGTTGGACGTTGAAAACGCTTTTAACAGCGTTGAGCAGTGCGCGTTCCTAGGCTCACTACAGTGGCCTGATCTCAGCCCGCTGCTTCCCCTCGTCCGCAACCTATACGACGGCCCCTCATCCCTGCTTGTTGACGCTCACCTGGGCGTCGACCACATCCAGAGCTCACGAGGCGTCAGACAGGGAGATCCCTTGGGCCCCCTTTTGTTTGCGGCAGCGAATCAGCCAGCTCTCCTGAGTATTTCGAAAACGACACTAGAAGTCGCAGTGGTAGCCTATGCGGACGACATTACCGTTGTTGGCCCGCGAGAAGCAGCGTGCCACGCCTTCACCAAGATAGCGAGTGATTTGGCGGAGTACGGTCTACGCTGCAATATCTTGAGGTCCTCGGCATGGGGAGCTACGACCGACGGAGAGAACGGGGAACTACCGCTGGGCCCCGTTGCGAACCCGGATGGTATACGGATCCTCGGCATTCCAGTGGGCAACAACGACTTCTGCACCACCCAGGTCCACGCGTCATTGGAGGAAGCCGCCTCACCCATTCCCCTCCTCGCTCAACTCAACCCGCAACACGCCATGCTGATCGTCTCCCGTAGCATCTCCCGCCGTATCTCATACATGCTGCGGACAACTCCGACGACGACCTTGAGCACCGAGGAATGGAGGGAATGGAGTGAGGCGTTGGTTGGCTCGGCACTCACAGCTGCAAAGCTCCACATCCCAACTTCTGAGCTGGAGCAGAGTTCACTGTGGTGCCAGGCTACCCTTCCGATTCGGCTCGGCGGCTTGGGCATTATTGACCCCATCTCGGAGGCCCCGGCTGCCTACATCGCCTCCGTCACAGCGGCACATACCCTTCTGCAGCACCAAAACTTACCCTCGAACTGCTTGCTACACAGAGCAACTACCCTCCTCTCTGTCAATGGGAGTGTTGTTTGGCCCCGTCCTCGCTTGGGCGGAGCCGACCTCGTGGTCGGATGTGCGGGGGTTGCAGCCGACCTGCAGCAGTGGGCACGGGGGCCACTTCAAGGGCACCGAGCTGGATGGTGCCTGGCTGGAGGGCGCCGAGCAGGAGGACGCCGCCCTGGACGCCTGGACGGCGTCCTGGGAAGCTGGACGCCGACCTGGGCGTCGGTACGCTACCCGGGCGCCTGGTCAACGTCGTGGGCACCTGCACGGCGTCTTGGGAGGCCGGACGCCGACCTGGGCGTCTGGTCGACGTCCTGGGAGGCCGGACGCCAACCTGGGTGTCCAGACGGCGTCGTGGACGCCTGGATGCTGAACTAGGGACGCCGGGCATGTGTGGCCGGGCTACGGACTGCGCTGGTCGACTAGGCGTGGTTGCCCGGTCGACCGGGATACCCGGGCGAGGTGTGCGAGTGTCGCCGGGGTGGAGTCCGCGAGGCCGACCTCGGGGGTGGTATCCCGAGGTCGACATGGCTGGTGGGCGCAGTCGCTGACGTGGAGTCTGCCAAGCGTCTGCGCTGTGCTCGTGACAAGGTGTGGAGCGCCAACCAGCTGCGCGCACTATGGGTGCAACACTGTGCAGCCGACTTGCTGCAGCGTTGGCACACTGTGGACTTGCAACGTTGGCGCACCGCTACTCTGCAACGCTGGAGCGGTGCGAGCGCTGCTGCGCTGGAGTAAGGTCGACCATGCTGCGCTGGAGGTTGACCAGCACCCTAGCTAGCCATGATGTAGTCTGTGTTGCCAATGTTGTTGCTAACAATTGTTGTCAACTTTCTCTAGTGAAACTCTTGCCAAATTGCCCCGTGAACTAGCAAGCAGTGTGTGCACTAGGAAAATGACTAAGGACCAATGAATGCAGAGAGCATACGAGCATCCGTGCCTAGCCCGTAGTCTAGCTCCCGTTGTAGTAGTTATCTCCGCATGGTGCGGTGAGCGTGGACGGCACCGCGACGTAGTTCAGTCAAGCCGACTTTGCACCAACCGTGTTTGTAGACCGGCAGCCGTGCAGTCACTAGCGTGCGCGTAGGTGACGCCGAGGTGATGGACACCCTGGAGGCATAGCTGGAGGATGCGAGGCGACGTCATGAGGCCCAGGAGTACGAGGCGATACCCTGGGCAGTCGTCGAGGCAGGACTCCGCTCCGTGTGGGCGGCGGAGCACCCCCCTTCACGACCAGCCTCTCCTCGACCGGTGAACAACGACAGCGGCATAGACGTGGGCGTCAACGCCGGTGGAGGTCAGGTCGGCAGCAGTGCGGGAGGCACGTCGAGGCAACGAGGTGTGATACACGCCGGAGAAGCCGGCGGCGTTCAGGCGCGAGGGATGCAGTCGTCAGCGGCCGCAGGCTCCTCGCAGGGCGACACCGGTGGGCGTCGAAGTGGATTGTCGCCGATGTCGGCGACCCAGGTGACGGTGGGCAGGATTGCACCGAGCGACGGCTACTTCAAGTTTACGCCGGACAGGATCGTGGTCACCCCGCCGCTCGTTGGTTGACAGGACATACTCACCTGGAAGGAAGCCATCGAGCCCCAGCTGGAGATGGCCGGGCTGATTGGCTTCACCCGAGGGACCGTAGCGACGCCGGGGGAGCACCATCTCGACTTGCGAGTAGAGTTTCGCGCCGTGCAGCTACTGACCTTTATGGTCATTTCGCGGTCCTGCTCGCCGGGCGTGCAGATTGCATTGAAGTGGTGCCGAGAGTACCTCGACGCCGGCCACCAGGCGTGGCACTTCATCGAGTCGACCTACCAAGTCACCGATGACATGTTCATCGCCCAGCTGGAGGGGCAGCTGACGCACCTGCGTATGGGCGACGAGGAGACGGCGACCGACTACTGCAACCGAGCTCGGCGAATTCTCGCCACCATCCGGATGGCTGGCGCGCAGTACTCGACGGCGTCGTACGTCACCCACGTCATGCACAGACTCTTGAGCAGCTACAATCTCCTGAAGCGGCTGCCAATGGCGCCGGGCATGAGGGCGACGCTCAACGAGGACAACTTGACCTTGTACATCCTGCAGGACGAGGCGATGCAGGAAGCAGAGCGGTCCCAGGAGCTCTTGGCGCAGGCGAACTTCGTCGCCCCGGCGAAGCAAGGAGGTGGACCGGGGCAGCACGGACAGCCCGGCGGCGGTGGTAGCAGTGGCTTCGCCGCTGTTGTGGTACTTGGCGCTCAACGACGTGCTGGTCGTCGCCGGGTGGAAGAAGAGCCAGGTCAACGAGGCTCTGTACTTCAAGGTTGGCGACGACGTAGTGGCCTACTGGGTGCTGGTCTACGTCGACGACCTGCTCGCCGCCAGCAGCAGCGCCGCGATGCTGGAGGAGCTGAAGGAGCTGTTGGAAGCAGCCTTCGAGCTGCGCGAGAACTCACCGGTGCAGAAGTACCTCGGGCTGGAGATCGTGCGCGACAGGTCGGCAGGGAAGTTGTGGCTGCACCAGCAGGGCTACGACGACAAGCTGCGTAGGCGGTTCATCGACGAGGAGCAGACCGGGCGCACCCCGAAGACGCCGGTCTCAGTCGACGCCTACGCCGAGCTCACCTTCGACGACAAGGAGGCGCAGGAACGCCAGCAGGAGGAGTACCGGCAAAAGGTCGGTTTGCTGCAGTTCGCGGTGACGACGACGAGGCCGGACATCGCCTTCGCTCACAGCAAGCTGGGGAGTGGCCTCACGGTGAGGAGCGACCAGCACTGGCGCGAGGTCGACCGCTGCCTCGCCTACCTCGCCAACACGCGTGACACCGCCTTGGAGTTCGGCGGTGGACCTGAGTTGCTGGAGCTGGTCGGCTACGTGGACGCCGACGACGCCGGCGACAAGCAAAACAGGACGAGCACGGGTGGCTATGTGTTCGTCTACGGAGGGGCCGCAGTCTCCTGGTCGAGCCAGCGCATCAAGTGCGCAACATTGTCGTCG